CAAAACAAACAAGAATTAACAGTCAATGGTCCTTAATTTCCCTCAATATTAATGGTCTTAATTTGCCTATAAAAAGACATAGGCTTACAGAATGGATACAAAGACAGAATCCATCCTTCTGCATACAAGACACACACCTCAACTTCAAAGACAGACGTTACCTCAGAATAAAGGGTTGGGATAAGATTTTCCAATCACATGGACCCAAGAAACAAGCTGGTGTAGCTATTCTAGTATCTAACAAATTAGACTTCAAACTAAAATCAATCAAAAGAGATGAACACAGTCATTTTATAGTCATCACAGGAAAAATCCACCAGGAAGAAGTCTCAATTCTGACAATGTATGCCTGAAAAAAATGTTTGTAAAAGGAACATCACTAAAACTCAAATCACACATGTGACCTCACACAGTTATAGTGGGAGACTTCAACAACCAACTCTCACCACTAGACAGGACAACCAGACAGAAACTTAACAAAGAAACAGAGGAGCTAACAGAAATTATGACCCAATTGGGTTTAACAAGCATCTATAGAACATTCCATCCAAACACAAAAGAATATAATTTCTTTTCAACTCCACATGGAACCGTCTCTAAAATCGACCACATACTCGGCAACATAGCAAAACTCAACAGGTACAAAAAATTGGAATAACCCCTGTATCTGTTCAGACCACCATGCTTTAAAGTTAGACTTTAAACACAACACAAATTGCAGAAAACCTACAAAATCAGGGAAATTGAACAGTGCTCAATTGCACCATTCTTGGGTGAAGGAACAAATAAAAAAAGAAATTAAAGACTTCCTAGAATTCAACAAGAAAGAAGACACTACATACCCAAATTTATGGAACACTTTGAAAGCAGTACTAAGAAGAAAGTTCATAGTACTAAGTGCTCACACGAAGAAACTGGAGAATAGTCACACTAAAGTATTAACAGCACAACTAAAAGCTCTAGAACAAAAAGAAGAAGAAAAATCACCATGGAGGAGTAGACTCCAGGAAATAATTAAACTGAGGAATGAAATCAATAAAGTCCAAACAAAAACAACAACACAAAGAATCAATGTAACAAAGAGTTGGTTCTTCGAGAAAATCAACACGATAGACTAACCTTAATCCAAACTAGCCAAAAGGAAAGAGGGAACATGCAAATTAACAAAACCAGGAATGAAAAGGGGGACATAACAATTGACACGAAGGAAATCCAGAGAATTTTAGGTCATACTTTGAAAACCTGTACTCCACAAAATTCGAAAATTTAAAGGAAAAGGCCAATTTTCTGGATAGATATCACTTGCCAAAATTAAATCAAGAACAGATAAGCAATTTAAACAGACCTATAATCCCTAATTAAATAGAAGCAGTCATCAAAAGTCTCCCAACAAAAACCCAGGCCCAGAAGGCTTCAGTGCATAATTCTACCAGAAATTCAAAGAAGAGCTAACACCAATTCTCCTCATAGTGTTTCACACAAAAGAATCAGAAGGTTCATTGCCAACTCTTTTTATGAGGCTTCAATTACCTTGATACCCAAGCTACACAAAGACACAACTAAGAAAGAGAACTAGAGACCAATTTCCCTCATGAACATCGATGCAAAAATAGCAAATCAAATCCAAGAACACATCAGAAAAATCATTCACCATGATTAAGTAGGCTTCATCCCAGGAATGCAGGGATAGTTCAACATACGAAAATCCAGCAATGTAATCCACCATCTAAAGAAACTGAAAAAAAAAATCACATGATCACCTCACTAGGTACTGAAAAAGCCTTTGATAAAATCCAACACCCTTTCATGGTAAAGGTCCTGGAGATTTCAGGGATAACAGGAACATGCCTAAACATAATAAAAAGCAATATACAGTAAATCAACAGACAAACTAAATGGAGAGAAACTCAAGGCAATTCCTCTAAAATCAGGAACAAAACAAGGCTGTCCACTCTCTCCATATATCTTCAGTATTGTGCTTGAAGGTCTAGCTAGAGCAATAAGACAACAAAAGGAGATCAAGGCGATACAAAGTGGAAAGGAAGGAGTCAAACTTTCACTATTTCCCTCTACATGGGAACGTCTACAGCTGATAAACACCTTCATCAAGGTGGCAGGATACAAGATTAACTCAAAAAAAGTCAGTAGACCTATGATGTAAAGACGATAAAAGGGCTGAGAAAGAAATCAGAGAAACATCATCCTTTACAATTGCCACAAACAACATAAAATATCTTGGGGTAACGCTAACCAAACAAGTGAAAGACCTGTATAGCAAGAACTTTGAGTCTTTAAGGGAAGAAAATTAAAGAAGATAACAGAAAATGGAAAGATCTCCCATGCTCTTGGATAGGTAGGACCAACATAGTAAAAATGGCAAACTTGCCAAATATCTACAGATTCAATGCAATCCGTATCAAAACTTGGGCACAATTTTTCACAGACCTTGAAAGAACAATACTCAACCTTATATGAAAAAAAAAAGACCCAGGATAGCCAAAACAACTCTGTACAATAAAGGAACTTCTGGAGGCATCATCATCCCTGACTTCAAGCTCTATTATAGAGCTATAGTCCTGAAAACAGCTTGGTATTGGCACAAACATAAACAGATAGACCAATAGAATCGAATTGAAAACCCTGATACCAACCCACACACTTGAGCACTTGAGTTTTGACAAAGAAACTAAAATTAAACAATGGAAAAAAAGAAAGCATCTTCAACAAATGGTGCTGGCATAACTGGATGCTGGCATGCAGAAGACTGCAGATAGACCCATGTCTATCACCATGCACAAAACTTAAGTCCAAATGGATCAAAGACCTCAACATAAATCTAGCCACACTGACCCTCTTAGAAGAGAAAGTGGGAGGTACCTTTGAACAAATTGGGAGGTACCTTTGAACAAATTGGTACAGTAGACTACTTCCTGAACAAACACCAGTAGCATAGACACTTAGATCAACAATTAATAAATGGGACCTCCTAAGTGAGGAGTGATGAGCAAAGGGCTGGTGAGACCCACAAAAACAGCTGACCTGAACAAGGGGGACCTTGTGAACCCTAGACTGATAGCTGAGAGGCCAGCATGAGACTGATCCAGACCCCCTAAATTTGGGTGTCAGTGAGGAGGCCTCTGCAATCTATGGGGCCTCAGGTAGCAGATCAGTATTTACCCCTGGCATACGAACGGACTTTGGCGGCCCATTCTACATGGAGGGATGCTTTCTCAGCCTGGACACATGGGGGAGGGCCTAGACCCTGCCCTGGATGATATGACAGACTCTGGAGATCCCTCATGGAGGGCCTGGGGAGCAGAATGGGGATTGGGTGGGGGGTTTGGGGAGGCTGGGGGCAGGAATGGAGGGGAGCCAGAGGGAGCTAGGTTTGACATGTGAAACAAGCTTGTTTCTAATTTAAATAAAAAATTAAAATAAATAAATTAACTGGTTATGTACTAACCAGTTAATATTAGTGTAAACTTAAACATTCTTTTAGCATCTGATAATGACAAAGCATACTCATTTAAAGTTTTTAATTCCTATAGTAGAGCAATCTAGACTGTGGCAAAGTCTCCTTAATTGGCTTTTGGTTGTCTGTTACCTCGGGACATGGTTGGGTTTCATTTCTTATATTAATTTTATGTGTTACCACTGGTGCTATGTAAGGTTCATTCCCTTTCTTGGTATAATTTGTATTTTCTTCAATACTATCTGACTTACTCAGGCATCTTCTTTTTCTACTTATAGTGACAAAGAAAAATAAATCATACTTTATAAGCAGATACATATTTAATAAAGAAATAAAAGGGGTTGGAGTGTAGTTCAATGTCTGGTTAGTATGTGTAAGGCTTTGGATTCAATCCCAAAGCAGTAAAACATTAAAAAGAAAGACTACACATGTATTAACAAGTCCTTACTTTCAAGTCACAGAAACATTAAAGGGTCTTATTATACTCACTTTTGTCTTGAGACAAACATCTGTACATTTAAAATTTTTTATGTACTTTTTAGAAAATATACTTCCATGCACTAAAAATCATTGGGTTTCCCCCCTGTATTTAAATTGTCACAGTTTGGCTATTAGAAGCAAGAACAAATTAAGTTTTAGTTCCTTCAACACTGTCCACAGACATTTTGAAAAGGTCCTTGCTCTTCATCAATGCCATGTTTAGATATCTTTTGCTATCTTCATGCTTCAAGACAGACCAGTAATCCTGTATTTAGAATTCATGAATCCATAGCATTCATATATCATTCAATAAATGTTTATTAGAAAAAAATGAAAAATAACATGGATTAAAAACCAGGCACTAGCCGGGCATTGGTGGTGCACGCCTTAATCCCAGCACTCGGGAGGCAGAGGCAGGTGGATCTCTGTGAGTTCGAGGTCAGCCTGGTCTACAGAGCGAGTTCCAGGACAGGCTCCAAAACAATCCAGAGACACCCTGTCTCGAAAAACGAAACAAAACAAACAAAAAACAGGTACTAGAAGTACATGTATGGGTAGGTAATAGCAGAAAAAGTAATATAAAATATACATTTATAAACTTTTTATCGTGTCTTTGTGCCCATTTCTTATAATACAAGGTGTCACTGATCACTATGTATATTTATTCCACTGTGAAGCAGTAGGCAAACTATCTACTCTGAGAAGTCACTAGGTAAGATACGTGAACATTGAATGGGAAAAAATAATGAAACGGGTCTATGTGAGACATATATACATTTTACTAAGATCATGAAGAGACAAAGTAATTATTGTTCTCAAATATAAACCCTCAAAATCAGAACTGAAAACTAGATATTTATAACAATAGATACTGGCTGCAACTGCCCTATTTCTCCAAGGGGCAGTCTAATCATAATTAAATGTCAGCAACAACTTAATTCCATACTTAAAATGCATGATACACTAGCCTCATTGTAAACAAATCCGTATCAAATGAGGCCTTCTACTCTTAAAGACTATCTTGTGCACTGATGCTCACGAAGCATACCTCCAGTCTTTCTGTGGCTCCATGAAACTTCAGGGTGAGGAAACAACACAGAGAATGCTGGGGATTCTTTTCTAGTTCTAAAAAGTAAATGAACTAATTAATACAATCAGACTTTCAAATGGAAAGATTACTTGGTTACACCATTCTATTATTTTTGCAATTTACTATCAATTTGTTAAAGTGAGTCCAAAATTAGAGTGTTAAAAAGGCTAATGGATAAATTCAGAGGTATAAAAACTTAACTGGATTTGGGTTTGAAAGTGACCTAAGAGATGACTGTCTACCAAATAAGGGTGGCAAGGTCAAAGAAAATGACTTGGACACCTTCAAATATACTGCTTGGCAATAAATACACTTTAGATATAAGTATGAGTCATGTGAGAAATTTCTCAGACTCTATGCTTTTTATATTTCACAGCAAATTTAAAGACAGGGAGTAGAAATTATTGAAACAAAGGATTAAAACAAAATAAAGGTCCTGTCAAATCTGCAATTTTGGTCCTCTACTTTTGGGTATTAAAAGCTCACTGAAAAAAGCAATCAGCCAGCTATTTTATTTCTTCAGAGTAATTTACGGCATGAATAAAGGCATTTTCCTATTTAAAATGAAAAAAAAAAGTCCTCATACTTCAGGTGTTTTTTTTCAGATTTTTTAAATTTAAATTAGAAACAAGTTTGTTTTACAAGTCAATCCCAGTTCCCTCTCACTCCCCTCCTCCCCTGTCCCCAACCAATCCCCTATTCCATCCCCTTTCTACTCCCCAGAGAGGGTGAGGACTTCCATAGGGGATCATCAAAAGTCTGTCATATCATTTGGAGCAGGGCCTAGGCCCTCCCCTGTGTGTCTAGGCTGAGAGAATATCCCTCTATGTGGAGTGGGCTCCCAAAGTCCATTTGTATAGTACGGATGAATACTGATCCACTGCCAGGGAACCCATAGATTGCCCAGGCATCCTCACTGATACCCACATTCAGGAGGTCTAGGTCAGGCCTATGCTGGTTTCCCACCTATCAGTCTAGGGTCCATGAGCTCCCCTTTGTTTAGGTCAGCTGTTTCTATGGGTTTCACCAGCCTGGTCTTGACCCCTTTCCTCATCACTCCTCCCTCTCTGCAACTGGATTCCAGGAGTTCAGTTCAGTGTTTAGCTGATGGGTTTAGTTTCCATCAGCTACTAGATGAGGGCTCTAGGATGGAATATAAGGTAGTCATCAATCTTATTATCAGGGAAGCAAATTTAAGGCAGCCTCTTCACTACTGCTTAGATTGTTAGTCATCCTTGTAGAACTCTAGACATTTTCCTAATGCCAGATTTCTCTTTAAACCTATAATGGTATCTCTTTTCTTGCTCTCCTCTATTCTTCCCCTGACTCAATCTTTCTACTCCCTCATGTCCTCCTCTCCCCTCCTTTTCTCCCCTTCTCTTTCTCCTACCTCCCTCTCCCATTCCCCCATTCTTCCAATTAGCTCAGGAGATCTTGTCCCTTTTGCCTTCTCCGGGGTCCATTTATGTCTCTCTCAGGGTCCTCCTTGTTTACTAGCTTCTCTGGCAGTGTGGATTGTACGCTGGTAATCCTTTGCTCTTTGTCGAAAATCCATATATGAGTGAGTACATACCATGTTTGTCTTTTTATGACTGGGTTACCTCACTCAGGATAGTTTCTTTTAGTGCCATCCATTTGCCTGCAAATTTCAAAATTCCATTTTTTTCAGCTGAATAGTACTCCATTGTGTACCACATTTTCTCTATCCACCCTTCAGTTGAGGCGCATCTTGGATACTTCCAGGTTCTGGCTATTACAAATAATCCAGCTATGTACATAGTAGAACAGATGTCCTTGTTGTATGAATGAGCATCTTTTGGGTATATGTCTAAGAGTGGTATTGCTGGATCTTGTGGTAGACTGATTCCCATTTTCCTGAAGAATCTCCATACAGATTTCCAAAATGGATGTATGAGTTGGCACTCCCACCAACGGTGGAGGAGTGTTCCCCTTTCTCCACATTCTCTCCAGCATAAACTGTCATTGGAGTTTTTGATTTTAGCCATGTGACAGGAGCAAGATGGTATCTCAGAGTTGTTTTGATTTGCATTTCCCTGATGGCTAAGGACATTGAGCACTTTCTTAAGTATCTATCAGCCATTTTAGACTCCTCTATTGAGAACTCTCTATTTAGTTCAATACCCCACTTTTTAACTGGATTATTTGGTGTTTTGGTGACTAGCTTCTTAAGTTATTCCAAATTTTGAAGATCAGCCCTCTATCAGACGTGGGGTTGGTAAACATCTCTTCCCATTCTGTGGGCTGCTGTTTTGTCTTGTTGACTGTGTCCTTTGCCTTACAGAAGCTTCTCAGTTTCAGGAGGTCCCATTTATTAAGTGTTGATATCAGTGTCTGTACTACTGATGTTATGTTCAGAATGTGGTCTCCTGTACCAATTCATTCAAGGGTACCTCCAACTTTCTCTTCTAAGAGGTTCAGGGGGGTTGAATTTATATTGAGGTCTTTGATCCATTTGGACATAAGTTTTGTGCATGGTGATAGACATGGATCTATCTGCAGTCTTCTACATAACAATATCCAGTTATCCCAGCACCATTTGTTGAAAATGCTTTCTTTTTTCCATTGTATAATTTTAGGTTTTTTCTTCAAAAATCAGGTATTTTCAGTTTAATTCCATTGGTCAATGTGTCTATTTTTGTGCCAATACCAAGCCGTTTTCAGGACTATAGCGCTATAATAAATAGAGCTTGAAGTCAGGGATGGTGATGGCTCCGGAAGTTCCTTTATTGTACAGGGTTGTTTTGGCTATCCTGGGTCTTTTGTTTTTCCATATGATATTGATTTATTCTTTCAAGGTCTGTGAAGAATTGTGCTGGTATTTTGAGTGGAACTGCATTGAATCTGTAGATTGCTTTTGGCAAGACTGGCATTTTTACTATGTTGATCCTACCTATCCAAGACCATGGGAGATGTTTCCATTTTCTGTTATCTTATTTAATTACTTTCTTTAAAGACAAAGTTCTTGCTATATAGGTATTTCACTTATTTGGTTAACCTTACCCCCAAGATATTTATGTTGTTTGTGGCAATTGTAAAGGGTGATGTTTCTCTGATATCTTTCTCAGCCCTTTTATCATCTGTATATATTAGGCCTACTTATTTTTTTGAGTTAATCTTGTATCCTGCCACTTTGCTGAAGGTGTTTATCAGCTGTAGGAGTTCCCTGGTAGAGTTTTTGGGGTCACTTACGTAAACTATCATATAATCTGAAAATAGTCAAAGTTTGACTTCTTCCTTTCCAATGTGTATCTTGCTCTCCTTTTGTTGTTTTATTGGTCTAGCTAGAACTTCAAGCACAATACTGAAGAGATACGGAGAGAGTGAACAGCCTTGTCTTGTTCTGATTTTAGAGAATTGAAGTTGAGTTTCTCTCCATTTAGTTTGATGTTGGCTATTGGTTTACTGTATGTTGCTTTTATTATGTTTAGATATGTTCCTGTTATCCCTGATCTTTCCAGGACCTTTATCATGAAGGGGTGTTGGATTTTGTAAAAGGCTTTTTCAGCATCTAGTGAGATTATCATGTGATTTTTCTTTTTCAGTTTGCTTATATGGTAGATTACATTGCTGGCTTTTCATATATTGAACTATCCCTGCATCCTTGGGATGAAGCCTGCTTGATCCCAGTGGATGATTTCTCTGATGTATTCTTGGTTTTCATATGCCAGTATTTCATTGAGTATTTTTGCATGAATGTTCAGGAGCGATACTGTTCTGTAGTTTTTTTTTTCCCCTTAGTTGTGTCTTTGTGTGGCTTCAGTACCAAAGTAATTGTAACCTTATAAAAAGAGTTTGGCAATGAACCTTCTGCTTCTATTGTGTGGAACACTTTGAGTAGTATTGGTATTAGCTCTTCTTTGAATTTCTGGTAGCATTCTGCATGGAAGCCATCTGGCTTTTGGCTTTTTTGTTGTTGTTGTTTGGGAAAATTTTGATGATGACTGCTTCCATTTCATTAGGAGTTATAGATCTGCTTAAATTGCGTATCTCTTTTTTATTTAATTTTGGTAAGTGATATCTATCCAGAATATTTTCCATTTCCTTTAAATTTAAAAATTTAGAATTTTGTGGAGAAAATGTTTCCAAAGTTAATTCTCTAGTGTGGACTATTCTCCAGTTTCTTCATATGAGCACTCAGTGTTCTGAACTTTCCCCTTAGTACTGCTTTCAAAGTGTCCCGTAAGTTTGGGTATGTTGTGTCTTCTTTTTCATTGAATTCTGGTAAGTCTTCAATGTCTTTCTTATTTCTTCTTTGACCCAGGAATGGTGCAATTGAGCACTTTTCAATTTCCATGATTTTGTAGGTTTTCTGCAATTTATGTTGTTGTTGAATTCTAACTTTATAGCATGGTGGTCTGAACAGATACAGGGGTTATTCCAATTTTTTTTGTACCTGTTGAAGTTTGCTATGTTGCTGAGTATGTGGTCGATTTTAGAGAAGGTTCCATGTGGAGCTGAAAAGAAGGTATATTCTTTTGTGTTTGGATGGAATGTTCTATAGATGTCTGTTAAGCCCAATATGGTCATAACTTCTCTTAGCTCCTTTGTTTTTTTGTTAAGTTTCTGTCTGGTGATCCTGTCTAGTGGTGAGAGTTGGTTGTTGAAGTCTCCCACTATAACCGTGTGAGGTCTCATGTGTGATTTGAGTTTTAGTAATGTTTCTTTTACGAACATGGGTGCCTTTGTATTCGGGACATAGAGTTCAGAGTTGAGACTTCTTCCTGACGGGTTTTTCCTGTGATGAATATGAAATGACCTTTTTCATCTCTTTTGATTGATTATAGTTTGAAGTCTAATTTGTTAGATATTAGGATACCTACACCAATTTGTTTCTTGACTCCATCTGATTGGAAAATCTTATCCCAATCCTTTACTATGAGGTCAAGTCTGTCTTTGAAGTTGAAGTGTGTTTCTTGTATGCAGAAGGGTGGATATTGCCTTAATATCTATTCTGTTAGCCATTAATATTGAGGGAAATTAAGGATCACTGAGTGTTAATTCTTGTTTGTTTTGG